TTTAAAATCAAGAAGATTCTTTATTACCGTTCGATTTCGATCCGAAGATCTTGGGATGTGATCTGTTCTCAGAGCCAAGCCGATTATGCAATGATACAGAGTTCACGTGTTTTCACTGCCGCCCACTGATATCCTTATCATCGTTACATTCTCTGCTAATTTATGCCTCGAGTTGTCTACGCGTCGGTCAGTCAGTTTCTGGAATTAGAAAGACTTAGATTCCTTTCGTTCAAAATTTAAAAAAAAAGTGTAAGGAAAGACACACGTGGTGCGTCATTCGTTGCACTGCATGAATAGCACCTTGTGCGTCATTCGTTACACTGCATAAATAGCATAAGACGCACCTTGTGCGTCGTTCATTGTATCCCATAAGTAACATAAGACACACATGTCTTTATCATCGTTACATTTTCTGCTAAATTATGCCTCGAATTGTCTTCGTGTCGGTCAGTCAATTTCTGGAATTAGAAATACTTAGATTCCATTCGCTCAAAATTGAAAAAAAAATAATGTAAGGGAAGACACACGTGGTGCGTCATTCATTGTATCCGATAAGTAACATAAGACACACATGTCTTTATCATCGTTACATTCTCTGCTAATTTATACCTCGAGTTGTCTTCGTGTCGGTCAGTCAATTTCTGCAATTAGAAATACTTAGATTCCATTCGCTCAAAATTGAAAAAAAAATAATGTAAGGAAAGACACACGTGGTGCGTCATTCGTTGCACTGCATGAATAGCATAAGACGCACCTTGTGCGTCGTTCATTGTATCCCATAAGTAACATAAGACACACATGTCTTTGTCATCGTTACATTCTCTGCTAATTTATGCCTCGAGTTGTCTTCGTGTCGATCAGTCAATTTCTGGAATTAGAAATACTTAGATTCCATTTGCTCAAAATTAAAAAAAAAATAATGTAAGGGAAGACACACGTGGTGCGTCATTCGTTGCACTGCTGAATAGCATAAGACGCACAAGGTGCGTCGTTCATTGTATCCATAAGTACCATAAGACGCACACGGTGTGTCAGTCGATAAATACCGAGTCGTCGTTTCGTTTAACTTAAAATAATTGAATAATCATAAGTTGGTATGCATACCAGCGGCTTTACGCAACGTGTCGCCCACGTGAAATTTTTTCTTCCTCGACCCAAAGGAATTCCAGGTCCGGGAACCTTGGTACAAGCCTCCTCAAGGTTACCCTCATCGAAGTGTTTCCCGTTGTTCGACAACGTTGCCTCTCTTCGATCCATCCTAACATTATTATCCCCTTTCGTTTGGATATTTACCAAAAGAACCTACCTATCGCCATTGGAGTTCCTTCAGCCGAAGATTAATCGGACCGACATACCAGACGGTGACTAAACAATTTTCCCGGGTTATTTTTGGAAAAGCACGCTGCTTTTTCGCGAGTATCTTCTTCACCTCTTTGCTACTTGTTTCCCGTTACGTTGTCTCGTTTTGAGAACGTTGTCTTAGTTTTCGGATTTCTTGCTGGCGTTCGACAAGATATCCCACCATTTTGGCTTTCTATCAAACCGTTCATCTTCCGGTCGATGCGGAGGAAGAAAGTATAAAAAGAAAAAAGTTTCCCGTTCGAAAGGGTAAGCGGAATCGGAAGATCAAGGAAAAATGATTGGGCTCTGTTTCGCGTGAAAAAGAAGGGCGCTAAGGGGGTGGGTGACGAACGGTAGGGGAGAAGCAGCGAAGAAAGACACAGACAGACGAATAGGCAAAAGTGACTCATCCCACGTGGATTTTAAATAGAACGTAAACGGCTTTTGACTCGGCAGATGCTGACGACGAACCAGAGCCAGAGCAGCAGTAGCTCGAGCAGGGTAGCCAAATCCTCGCAGAGGATTGTAAGCTCGTCCTCCTCAAGTGAGATGAAAGCTAGCTCCATGAAGAGCGACCTAAGGGAACTTCAACGTGGCATTTCAGAAATGAAGAACAACATATCGACTAACTTCTCCCAACGATTACGTAGCAGCATGGAGAACCTCGTGGACAGGTGGGTCCGATCGTAAACTAAACTTATTCATCTGTTCGTTAACTCTTCATTGGATTAATCATTTGTTGTACCTGAAATATTTCAATTAAACGTGCTCCAATTAAGTTGAAAACCGTTCCGTCGTGATGAAGTGTTGATAGTTCAGTTCGAGGTTCGTCAGAATCACGCGAGATCGATCCGATCTCTGGCAGCGAGTAATCACGAAAGTCACGTCCAACGCGTATTTATAGCCGAGTGGATCCCTTTTTAGCCGCGATTATTTTCAATGTTGCTAGCACGGTTCCGTTGCAACTCGACGATTTTTAACGAAACGTAATCGTTTTGTTTCAGAGACGGAAACGGTACCGAGGAAGCCGATTTAACCGAACCATTGGTCACCTTCCCTGATCCGGACACACCACCGCCGGTCACTGGAACGGTCACCTTACCAAGCGGACCACCCTCGCAACTCAGCTCCTTGAATTCTTTGAACAATCTTCACAATATGAGCCCACCGATCAGTATATCGAACATCTCGAACATGACGAATTTACCTGCTGGCCAGGAGACGATGAAGTTCGAGCAGAAGAAGATGACCAGCGCGTCCAAGACAAAGGTAGGCTGCTTTCTCAAATCTAATGGAAATTTCATTATTGAAATAAAGAAGATTCTGTCAATTATCATATATATTTTATAATACTTTATTAATAACTTCCTCGGGAAATAACATTGGCTCGGATATCAGAAAATGATAGATACGCGTGTCAGAATCTTCTAATTCACGAGCAAAGTGGCAATGGTTTCTTAATTAGGATGAACCGAGACGATTTTAGAATCGACCAGGTTCCTAGCAGAAATTGCGCGTGAAATAATCGATGTCGCGTGGAGTTTGCGAACGTTTGGCGACACGAAGGTACGCGATGTTTGGTCCGGAGGTGCGGTTTCCTTCAAGTAGTCTAGGTCAAGGTCGATTCGCAACTCCTCTAGCCAAACAGTCGGTAATATATTCATAGGGAGTGGTGCCGTTACTGTCCCCAAATATTTTAACTCACGAATTCTACCAGAGGCGATAATTATCCGTGGAAAGAATCGTATCGCAGATGTTTAAAAATCATTTTCGTGCCGTTTATTTTTGCGTTGAATGTCACGTTCTTCTACCTCGACAGCTGATCTCTTTTCCATTCCCGTTCTATCTTTAACTCAACTTCCGTCACGAGCGCGTTAGAAACGCACAGCTACGTCAGGGCAAGGTCAGTGTTTCTTTTTCGCCGATTTAAAAATGAAAATCTACGAGATTTATGCGAAATTTTCTTCACAGTTATGGATAAGGGTTGGATTCTTGAAATTTCAGGTTGTCACCGACGGTTTCAGCGCCGAAAAGGCGACTGCGAATAGCGCCGAGATGAGAGCCTTACAAGCTGGCGACGTCTCGTACAAGGAGCAGAGCGCCGCGACGGCGGCCAGGGCACGCGTCGAACTCGATGGCGTCTCCGCGGAGAAAAGCGTCGCTGCGGCAAGGGTGAGTTTCCTTCGCTAACTTCTCTACTGTGTTTACCTCACAATCTTCGGCAAGATACGAACAGGATAAGTACTTTATTCATAATATGATAAATGGATTATTGTATCTTGTTGATATCGGTTCGGTCGCTCGCTTTAAGTGACAATGGATGCCGTTACTTTGGGTGCGGTCTAAACTGAACTCTGTTAGAATAGTTTGGCACGAAACACGCTAACTTGTTCGGTCGTTGACACGATCGCTTCTCGCTGCTGATGATCTCTCGTGTGCGAATTGCTTTCTCACACGATCCACGGATAAACATCGCTTCTTCGATCTCGCTGTCTTCGCTTTCCCGGGAAACTGAAAGGTTTACCATTCGGTCGGAGATCAGTCAACGTTCACTGTGCATCGAATTTAGTATCTTCGAATAATTGAAAATAATGGCCTAGCTAACGGAAAGTTTAAATAAATACCTTACTACAGATGGTCGTTTTTACCTCGCTTAAAAATAACAACACTCGAATCTGATTCTCAGATGATAAAAATGTTTTTTTTTAGAATTTCATTTTCTATTGTATCGATACGATGATTCGTCTCTTATCCACTGTTCACTGATAAGTTATTGAATTTATCGATAATAAGTAACAATTAATCGATGTTGACTGAATAGGTTCAAGAATCTTTTCATAGATAAATATGATGTTTCGATTACACAAAAAAGAAATCAGATGGTTTGATTACGCGAACAACGGTTCGCGTTTTCCGAATGGTAACTCGCCTATTTTACGACGTCAGACGAGCTAAATTTAGCCGTTTTTCCATCGGTGTACGTAGCTTTTGACTCACCGAGGAAATTTTTGAATTCGAGCCAATAACTACGTCGTACAATGTTGTTCTCTGTTTCTTCTCCACCTGCCAATGATTACCTGACTTCTTCTCTTGCTCTTTTATTCCCTCCTCTCCCGCGTGCTAAGGGTTCGAGATGACCCCGTATTTTGAATCATTTGCAAGTCTGATTGAAACAAATATAGTAGTAGCTGCGTCGAATAAACAGGGCCGTACAATTCATCACTGCTGGGGAAGGCCATTCGTGGCCTCTAATGGAATATTCGCGTGTCTACCCTTCGTTTGCGTACTCCTGCGAAAGGTCAACGGATTTCCCTGGCTTTCGTGGAACCTCCTCCACCGTTCTCTCACGAACTCGTTGGAAATCGCGTGTTGAAATCGCGAGCCTTGACCCACGCTAAACTACTGCGGATTTTTCTTTATCTATGATCTATCCTCGACTTTATGCCGCAAACTAGAAATTAAAACGAGGCTGATTAGAAACTTCAAAGTCTTGTACTTTCCGAAGCGTGTGATTTGTGAAGGAGGAAAGGATTCTTGAAATCACGTGCTCCAATAAATTCAAGCATCGTTGAACGTTACGCAATTTCTCGCAAGCCGATTATTCGGCACGTGTTCGATCGGTAATTGGGCGGCGATCATTGCCAAAAATCGTGCTCTATGTAGAAGATTCACAGACGTTGGCAAACTTCGTTTCAAGATCGTTGCGTACAGTTGCAGTCGGATGAATCATGCGTTGCACGTGTCTTCGCATGTGGTTTTGATATTGTACTAATCGTTTCAAACGAATCCTTCGATCTCTTGATATTCACGATGTCGTTGTTAAGTAAATAGTATTAACACTAAACGTACCATAGACCGGTCAAATGACCGATTGCAAACTTTTGATTATCGCTTTTTCACATTTCACTTGATGACTTTTTCTATTAAATACACTCCGCGAAACAATTAAGGGATCACCTCTACGAACCCGAAAAATAGGACGAAATTCAGATGGTTATAACTTTGAGAAAGATCATCTGAAGCTGTGAAACCTCAAAATTAAATAACTCAGCCAAAAAAAATCGTACAGCAACCAAAAACTATTGATTTTACATAGGAAGGTAGTCGCTTTCGACTGGTACAAATGCAAATTGCTAAAAAAATTTTGTTAGTGCCATGTTACAAAGTTGAATAAAATTTTTAAACATTTTCGAAGTGCTACTTATATCACTGTAACATTTATAAAATTCAAGATAGCTAAAATCTTAAAAGAGGATCTGAAAATAGAGATTTCACAGCTTGAAATGATCTTTCCGCGATATCGATTCGACCATTTTTCTCAAAGTTATAACCATCTGAATTTCGTCCTACTTTTCGGATATAATTAATTTTACATCATTTATTTATATTTTTATTTGTTAAATCCAATAAAGACTTGTAACCTAGCGTCATTTACCATTTGATCGGTTGCGGTACAAATAGGTGTATATTAAATATCGGTACGTTTAGTGTTAAGAATACCGGCTCGCTGCCGTATCTAAGGGGTTGTCTGACTCACGGGGGTGTACCAGCCAACAAACCACCCCCGACGATCGATCGATATTCCCCTCGAGGGCAAAACAGTCGGTTGTTGGCGCTGTTAGTCGACGGTTCGCGCACGTCGATGGGGCAGCAACTGTCCAATTTCGCACGGGGTTTTTTCCCAGTTTTAAAGCCGAAGAGTGGTGTCGAACGACGGAAAATCATGGCGAACGAGACGTCGAAAATGGTACGGTACAAAGTGCTCCATATCCGTTTCCTATTATCGAGTGATGTAACAATATTGTTGATGGGAATCGATCGTCTGTTGGTTGCCGTGCTTTCTTTTATCAGTGGAGTGAAATGTATGATTTCAAATTGGGCTGCGATTTTTCTTACCGTTATAGCGAAAAAAATTCAATTCACTTTCTTAACTTTCATCGAAACTCCCAGAAGCAATGATGGTAAAATTCTCGAGTGAAGAATTTTCTAATACCGAGTAATTGAAAGATTCCAAGGGTAACTCTTCTCGCCGACGAGAGGAGGATAATCGCACGCGTGAACTTCTCCTCTTCGGCAAATGGATCGAGCGAGTGGAACGTGTAATTAGTAATTAGAGGGCGTGCTCAGGATCGCTAAATTACAGAGGAACCGAACGAAAGTCCGCTACGAGGATCGTGTTAATTGAAAGATTGCTCTACGCGCCATGATGTTTTAATTTCAATGCAGTTTATGTTGCAGTTTATGCAACACTTGGACTTGCTCGAGTAGCTGTGATCACCGGTATCGATCGCTCTTTATCAATTATTAATTCGTTGGAAACGAGAACTGATCGATATCAGTTCGTGCGAACTGTGTCAGAAGGTTGAAAAGAAAACTTTTTAATTACTGGTAGAATGAAAAATTTCGAAAATCATATTTATTTTATTTGTTTAACTTCTAAACGGGTGAAACCCTTTTTACACAGAATATGAAATAAGTAGAAAAAAAAGAAAACTTATTGAACAAAAAATATTGAAAACTTAGTTTTATTTCTTCTTCGTAATGGTAAATAACAGGGATTCATTCATTTAGCGATGACTGTGAGATCAGCCCCTAAATTTCGGTTAGATCTTCAAGAAACGTTTGCCAACTCGATGAAAATGTCATCGATATCCGTCTGAAACCGAAATAGTACTCGACCGCGAAAGATGCTCGGGTAGAATGCCAGCTACTTCCCAACATTTTTAAGGACACGTTCAAGGCCTTCAGGGTATTACGAGTAATTTCACGAAACTGGAGAAATCAGCGTTCCAGGGTGAATTTCTCAGTAACTGTGCAACTTTCGATTACAATTTAAAGTATTTAAACTCTGCAGTGATTGGAGTCGTTTTATAATTAACGTATTATTTGTTCAATTAAGAACGGGTTCTGTTTGAAAACGTTAAAGGTATCGATAACGTTATCGCTTTTATAGCTGATAAATTATGAAACAATTTTTTTTTTTTACGAGCTCTTCGTGGCAGTTCAGCATTGTCGCATTGAAATATAATTTTTATCAAGCTGATTAAAGGAACAATTGATAGTGTATCTTTTATTTTTCGCGATACGAAAGAGAATATTTCTGTTTATTGCGCGTAATGAAAGTGCCACATGTTCTCGGGCTCATTGTTTGGCCATGCGAATTATTTATACGCACATCTGTCGAGATGACAACGTTAATGAGCTATCTCGTTAACAAAAGACGTTGTATGTTGTTATTGGCACGCGAGATTACTGGGTTAAAAAGTGACTGTTACCTTCTGTTACAATGTCGATGGAGTAATACGTAAACACAGTGGAAAATTATCGTTTCTTCTTTCCTAGGAGACCGTAGGTAAGACAGGCTTAGAAAATCGAATTTTCATCAATCTTTAAGCATATATGCAAAGCAACTTAATTAAGGAAATTGATACGAAATTACGTAACGATGAGCGTGGAGCTATTCGAAAGTCAGCAAGAATCCGTGGAACGGTGCGAATGATGCGACCGCTATTTCTAGTCGCGGAAAATAGAAACACCGGTGATGGAAACCCGGCGAAAAATCCGCGTCACGCGGCCCTCCCTCCCGGTTGCAGCGTTAATGTTAGGTGTCCGGAACAAAATTAAACCTGTGCGCCACTTGTGGATTGCCTTTCGAACGAGTTACTTAGTCGTCCCATGTCTCTCAAGATCGATCGTTTATCGCGTTCACTTGCCGCTGCTACAACGCTGTTTCCCTCCGTTGCTACGAAATTCATTTTCCTTATCGTGGGCTTATCTTATCCGGCTCGAGTGTCGTACGAGCTGGATCGTTAAATCTCGAAGATTTCTCAATTATTTTCTCGACGTTCGTCATCGGACGACGACTGAAAACTGTTGTTTCGCGCAGCAGGCGGTGGTATGCGTTTCCAGCATGAGTGCACCGTGGCCAGTGCATCGCAGCGTGATGCATCGAAAGGTGTTCGAACGACCGCGCGCGGTGAGTGTTGTGAGCCGAAGGAATTTGTTTCCCTCTAATATAGCAAACATTCGCGAAGGATGGTAGGATATTTTCAATGAAATCTCTCTCTCTCTTTTAAGAGTCTTGTTTTTCCATGTTCTTCGATTCGAGGAACAAACAAGATAACATACTGGAGTTTAATAAACAAAAACTTATTCGAGATGAGAGAATGCAGGGATTGTTTTTTAGGGAGAATTTTTAGGGAGGAACGTATAGGTACGAAAGTATAAATCAGAAATCTTGAACGAATTTTATTTTTACTATTGACGCAAACGATCGTAGAAATATCTGGATGTCGATAGGGACGAATAGATTCAAATTTCGGGAATTTGTTTATCGGTAACGGAGCACGCGTCGAAGAACGAATAATTAAAGAAACGAAATACGCGATCCGAAATTTTCCTCTGTTCCTCGTCGATTTTTAAATAAACAAAAGGAAGAAGAAAGCAACGAATTGCGTTTCCACGCGAGGCACCGGTATAGTTAGTCGGCGCGATAGTAACGCAATTATCCGCGCGTGTAAAGTCCGCTCGGAGCGAGCGGTTCGCCACGTGGGGACCGAGCGAAACGATGCGGTGGGAGAGTAAGCGTGTTTATTGCAAGGTGGCAAAGAGGCAAGGAGGCAAAGAGGAGGCGGATATCATCTCGCGACGACAGGGAGAACAAAATGCCGCTCGTGACGACACGCTCGGATTATATTTAGAGAAATACGTCAGAAGCTGAAGAGGAAAGGTCGAGCCGAGACCGATGAGCTTTCGACAGGCCAGACTGTTATGGAACTCTGTCGCGGAAAGTCTTCGAACGTCTCCTCTTCGGCATTTCTCCCGTCTTGAACACCTGTTTCGGAAAGAAACACGAAGTGTTTACCACGAATTAATCATAATTTAAGAGTCGCTTGTGTATCTTATCTATCGCGAGGATTATTACGGTGTTGTGTGACATTTCTGATGAAGGTAGTGAAAGTGACTGAAACTATTGTGAAAGGCATTACACGTTTATATTTTTCTGAATTTCAGGAACAGAGAAGCTTGAAAGCTGGCGATCTATCGCACCAAGAGAGCAATAACATGGCAGCGTCCACGATGAAGCTGCAGAGTGATTCCTTCAGTTCGGAAAAGGTGAGAGGAACAGGTCGCAACAATTTGTCCCTTAGAGAAGACTGGAAGATCGTCATTAACCCTTCAGTCCCGAAAGAGATTACCATTGCCATCGCTAACATTCCCTGCCCTGACCTCTGCCTAGTTTACGTTAATAAATATCACCTGCGCCGGGAAGACACGATAGAAAGGGTTGAAATTCGTTCGTGTTGTGTACCAATATACTCGTGCGAAGCGTAAAAATCTGCTCCCACCTCGATACGAGATCTCGTGCGTTTGCGGTGCTTTGGCACACCCACGACCATCACATTTGTATACGAACAGGAGAAACGAATTTGTATAAGCGAAAAGTGGGATCCACGGATTTAAACGTCGACCAGATTGCCGGCAGCGTTCAGTCTTTCCTCGCGAACAGCAAACAGTACAGCCAAGAAGGTTGATGATGCGAAAGTGGAGTCTCGATTCGAGAATGGTACCCGATTTTTTATCGCGTCTTTCTGCGAATGCTTTGAAATGTCATCTCGATGAACTGTGCACGCTTTTCTTTTCATCTTTTTTTCACACCTGTTACACGTCGACCGATGTAGACTCCATCAATTAGCGAACAGACATCAGAGATGGAATATTCATGCGTATCAACCGTTTTTGGTTTCGTTCGACGAGGCAATGCAAATCATATTTAACGCGTTACGTAGTGATACAGAAATAATGAAGATACCGGACGTGACATAGACGCGAGATAATTCTATCCGGCATGCCGCGAGCCTTGGCGCCAACCTAGAATTCCTCTTTCCAAGATTGATCACCCTTAATGTCCACCAGCTTTCGAAGCGGATTTATATCGCGACCAATTGTTCCTTCAAATTTTCCTCTTTACACGCGCCGCCACGATTCCTTGTCTACGCTTTTCGATGGAATTTTAAAAATAGATCGGAGATGGTTATATCGGAATATTTATTTGTAGAACGTTCGTAGTTCGCGAAAACATTTTTAAATGTTCCTCGAATAATCTATACTGCAAATTTTTCAACCTTGTCTCTTCCCGATAAAAATTCATGGGAAAATGAATTGCTCTATTAAGATTTGCTAAATTGTTTATTCTCCAATTACAGAAAGCCGTGGCGGCGCAACAGCAAAGACAAACGGTCACCTCGACCGGTATCTTCAACCAGGAGAAACACATGTTGAGTACCAGCTCGCAGTCGAGTATCACGATTGCTTCAAACGGAGTTGCCTCGAAGTCGTCGATGATCAGTGCGGCAAGTGCGGTGAATCAGTTGATGAACGGCATGAGGCCAGCCGAGGATGAACTTCTATCTTTACCCCTGGACGATCTGGATCTTCTATGTTCGAAATCGAATCCGCAGGACGTCGATCGAGCCATCACGAAATACTCCAACTTCCTCGACAGTTTTGTCGAACGTTTGAAGGCGAACGATGGGAAAAACGGGAAAGCTCCGTTGCTTTTGAATCGAGTGAACGAGATCATCAGGAAGGCTTGGGCAGTGCCTACTCACGGCCATGAATTAGGTTACACCTTGTGCAATACCTTGAGAACGAGAGGTGGCCTCGATCTCCTCATGTCGAACTGCGTGGCCAGCGATCAGGAATTACAATTCTCCTCGGCCAGATTGCTCGAACAATGTCTGACCACCGAGAACAGGGCGCACGTGGTGGAACACGGTTTGGAGAAGGTGGTGAACGTCGCTTGTGTCTGTACGAAGAACGCGAACTCGGTGGATCATTCCAGGGTAGGCACCGGTATCCTGGAACATTTGTTTAAGCACAGCGAAGGCACCTGCAGCGACGTGATCAGGCTGGGCGGTTTGGACGCTGTACTCTTCGAATGTAGAAAGAACGACATCGAAACGTTGAGACACTGCGCTGGTGCTTTGGCGAACCTGTCCCTGTACGGTGGTGCAGAGAACCAAGAGGCGATGATCAAAAGGAAGGTACCTATGTGGTTGTTCCCTCTGGCTTTTCACAACGACGATAACATCAAGTACTATGCATGTCTGGCGATCGCGGTACTGGTAGCCAACAAAGAAATAGAAGCCGCGGTGCTGAAGTCGGGCACCTTGGACCTGGTCGAGCCGTTCGTCACCTCGCACAATCCTTACGAGTTCGCCAAGTCCAATCTGGCGCACGCTCATGGCCAGAGTAAGAACTGGCTAGAGAGGTTGGTACCGGTGTTGAGCTCGAAGAGAGAGGAAGCCAGGAACCTGGCCGCCTTCCACTTTTGCATGGAAGCGGGCATCAAGAAGCAACAGGGTAACACAGAGATATTCCGCGCGATCGGGGCCATCGAACCTCTGAAAAAAGTAGCCAGTTGCCCTAACGCCGTCGCCTCCAAATACGCAGCTCAAGCACTGCGACTGATCGGCGAGGAGATACCTCACAAACTTAGTCAACAGGTTCCTCTCTGGTCCACGGAGGATGTCAGGGAGTGGGTGAAACAAATTGGCTTCGCTGAGTGCGCGCACAACTTCGTGGAGAGTAGGGTGGACGGTGATCTCTTGTTACAACTGACCGAGGAGAATCTCAAGGAAGATATTGGACTTACAAATGGAATCAGAAGGAGACGGTTCACCAGAGAATTACAGAACTTGAAGAAGATGGCTGATTACAGTAGTCGGGATACAGGAAACCTGAACAGTTTCCTCCAGTCTATCGGTCAAGAGTTCTCGATTTACACGTACAGTATGCTCAACGCTGGCGTTGACAAGGACTCGATCAGAAATCTGTCGGAAGATCAACTTCAGGCCGAGTGCGGGATCGCGAACAGTATTCATCGGTTAAGAATACTGGACGCCATTAAAAACATGCAGCACAATCAGTTGGGTTCGTGCGAGGACGAATCACCTGACAAATCGTTGGACGTGTTCGTTAGTTATAGAAGATCGAATGGATCACAGTTGGCCAGTTTACTGAAAGTCCATTTGCAGTTGCGCGGTTTCTCTGTGTTCATCGACGTCGAGAGGCTAGAGGCTGGCAAATTCGATAATAATCTGTTGCAGAGCATTAGACAAGCGAAACACTTCCTCCTTGTGCTAACGCCCAAGGCTTTGGAAAGGTGTATACAGGACACTGAATGTAAAGACTGGGTTCATAGGGTAGGTGTTGTGCTATCATTTTTCTCTGCTCATTCTGAGGAATCATTTTCTATGATGTTTTATGGTATTTCCAGGAGATCGTAGCAGCTCTACAGTCACAGTGTAATATAATTCCCATCATAGACAACTTCCAGTGGCCAGAGCCTGAAGAACTTCCCGAAGACATGCGAGCAGTTTGTCACTTTAACGGTGTACGGTGGATTCACGACTACCAGGATGCGTGCGTAGACAAGCTTGAAAGGTGAACATAGAAATTCTCACTAGATAATAAGTTTTCCACTCAGAGTTCAGGGCAAAGTCTTAACAGAGTAGAGTGCACGAAGCTAGATGATGTATTATGAAAAAAAAAATCTAATTTACAGGTTTATGCGAGGTGAAATACCAGTCAGGTCAGATATTCCAAGGAGTATCGCAACCAAAGACGTGACACAACCTAATACACCGGGTAACACGACCATTCGACAACCACCGAATTACCAACGTATGCACAGTAACGAGAGCAGGGGTAGCGACAAAGATTCAACAGGTGGGCGAGATTGACTAGAGGGCCCGCCCACAGCCATACTGAGCAGGTAATCATTAGTTAACCAGCGAAGATAATCAACATACTCGATTAACTAATGAACATCTACATATACTAAAATTTTCGGTTCAACGTTTAACACAATATTTTTGTTTTCATGCAGCCAGGATTAACAATCACGCTAAAGACAATCGATCATGACTAGGTCAGTCGATGAGATTCAGTTTTATTATTCGTGTTAAATTGGTGTCAGTTATCAGTGTCCTTTATCGTAAATCGTTTTCCATGTTGTTTGCTTGGATCGGTGTTATTATTGTATGGTACGAAATCGTGAGTTTAGAGTCAATTTCAAATGTTAATAATTTTATCGCATCGATTTCTTACCATACATTATGAGTCTATGTTCGAATAGCTTCAGAATATGCGCATGGGTACTATTAAATGAAAAGAAATTAGCTTATCTATTCGATTATACAGGCTGTTTCAAAATATATCGGTTCCTCGTGTATACACTCTCCATGTTAACTGTATCCACCCTCGTGTTTAAGGCACAAACCCTGGCCTTAGTTGTGAATGCACTAGGAGATCCTGGACGTATTTTTCTTCCCTTCCATATTTCTATCTCCTAATTTATTCTTTCCCAGCACAATCGTCACAGGTCTAATCGTGTCCAACCTGAAAAACGAAAACTGCATGATTGCTGTATGTGTCTGTGCAAAATAGATGTATCTATAAATAAGTGATTCTAAATGTTTCATTAAAAAAATTACAGGCTTAGAAAATCATCGAGTCCGTCCCGTTGGTTAATGGGTTTACCGCCTACGTCTCCGCGATTGAAGTTCACCCACACGCACCTTGGAGGAAGTCCAGTGCCACGAAGACCTCCTCGGCATCCTCCTTCCCCATCAGCTAGATCTCGTTCGTTGGAACTGCTGGATCGAGAGGAAAAGAAGTCGGTCTCACCGGTTAGAGAAACGGAAACGCCAACGAGACCAAGGTCCAGAAGCTTGGACGGCCTACTGGACGAAGATGGTATAGTACCAGACATGAAGACTGAAGAGTTGCCTAAGCAAAGCAACGAAAGTGATGAAACCGATGTTAAGGAATCTCAGGAAGCTTTGGACAGGCTTTCTGATAGGAAAATAGTAGGTGACGATAGTCTTGTTCAAGTGCAATCGCGACAGAGAGATACAGAATCGATTGTTAAGATTAACAAAAATGAAAATCCAGTACCAGTTCCTAGACAGCGAGTAAAAGCACCAGCTGTAGAACCAAAATTAGAGACGGTTAATATTGTACAAAAAGAAGAAGCATCTTCAACTTCTGAAGAGCAAGGTTCACCGACACGACCATCAAAAGATGGATACCCGTCGAGTGTTTACTCGAACCTGGATGATAGAAAGGAGGAGGATTCTCAGACGAGCTCGGAGAACGTTGATCCTTGTGATAGTAATATAGAGTTGAAAGAAAAATTGCTGATGGTAACGGGAAACGATAAATCAACACTGCTCAAAACAAGAAGCTGTGGCGCGGGGCTAGATTCCGACGAAAGCATTTCGTCCAATGAGTTTAAACCTAAATCGAAAGAACAAGGCTCGTTGCTCTCTTTGCCAACCGGAGCCGAGCCGAAAAGAAAGAAAAACTTTATGGACAAATGCGTGAACAAGGTACGGTCTTTCATGCGAAAGTAAATATTGTTAGTTTGTTGGTTACGGTGATACAAAGACTTGTTATTTAATTTTACAATGTTAATTTAAGCGCATCGATACATTGTCGATCGGACAGCGATGATTCCAGTTAATTGTAATGTTCTGATCAAGTATCGTGTATACTCGATTGTCGTTCAAACAATTTTTCTACTGTATTACTGCGACAATTATTCTCAGTGTGTACAAATTCGCTTTGATAAATGGTATTTTCATTTTTTTATTTTCTCGTTCCCCTTGAAATCAAATTTCTGCCAGACGATGGGTATACATGATATTTGAAGAACACGCAGAGAACTAAAGCATCGCCATGGAAAAATTACGTGTTATCGTAATTTCTCTTCTGTACAATGACAGGCAGCATAAAAGTGTGACTAATGCTGTGCCTATAACAAAGTGTCTTCTTAGAAATTCAGGATTAGGAAATACGACATACTGTTCCAAAATATACACGAATTCGAAGGAGTTAGCCTGCTTTTTCAGGTGTCTTTTATATTTCCTTATTCAATTGTATTATATAGGTATATAAATATGTAGGTAGGTAGCATTGTTATTTGTAATACTATTTTTTAGTCGGTTTTTTTTAAGGATTATCATAAAGTAATGTTCCACTTACGACGTATACCGTGAGTGAAGGCAGCTAACCCCTATGAAATAATAAGAATTGTAACGATTAGTTACGCCATTTTATTGTTTAATAAATGTTTTAACTGTTATCTTTACGTATATAGCAAGTTCGAACAAATCCGTACGAAGTGAACCTTACGAAGCTTCGACATTGTAATATTCTAAGATCCTACCTAAGAATCAAGAAATGTATATTTTACCAAAGTTTCGTAAAGTAAACGTAATAATTTTATCAACAGTTTGAATGTTTCCCATAAAATAAATTTTATTCAGTAAAACATTATTGGCTTAACGTGTTAAAGATTTTACATACTTTCTTTCGATATAAAGTTTTATTCAATAAAATGTACAAGGATATAACATTTATTAATTCTATTATGTCATTTACAGTTTTCCACCTTTTTTCGACATTACTCTTTTACATAAAAATATAATTAATAATTACAATCTTGTACATCAATAGGACAGAGTCCATGGCAGTCAGATTATAACACAATGCATGTCATTAATACTAAATTATGAACTATATATTGCAAATTTGCTATGCACTGTACAAAATTAAATTATCTGTTTATAATATCATCCCTTCCCCTAAGTCGTCTTAACAAAATCACATCATTAATCATGAGTGTAACACGCTTTGCATGGCGTGACACTAGCACACAATCTTCAAAGAACTGAACAATATAAGCTTCTGCTGATTCATGCAATGCTTGAATTGCACTTGATTGTATTCTAAACATAAAAGAAAAAGTTTATACAATGTTTAGAAATGGTAATTGTAGTAATCAATAATTAAGAACATTACCTTCTAATATCTAGTCTTGGAAATAAATCAAACATAATTGATCTAATTAAACGAGCGAAAGGAAGTTTTGGTATCACTAAATGTACAGTCCTCCTTAAATATTTAATTTCTCGCAAAACTCGTGAACGTTTAGGTTTATGTACTAAAGTGTGGGTCTAAGAAATGAAAAGGCATTAGCAATGAAATATGACTTAAACCGTTAAAATTCATTTCAAATAAAATAAAATAAAATAATATTACATTCGATATTATTCGCGTATACCACACGATAACAGCAATTGTTATCATTCATAAATGATTACACTTACACTAGATGTTTGACTAGGTGGTCCCCGTCTAAAAAAATAATACTATTTTAGTTATTTTTACATTAAATTATATAAATATTTCACATACTAATTATATTGTATATATCAGTGACCCCAATAAAAGATGACATGATACACTACTGTATGTAATTCAAAATCACGATGTTAGAACAAAGAAATCAAAAGCATTCTTTTATTAGTATTAAATATAACAGCGGCAAAATTTCGTTTTGAAGAACCAATGTTTAGGTGCTCCAAAAGTTTAGGAAACTAATAGTTTAAAAAATACAATTGTGTAAAAATTTACATATTTAGTGGAGTTGGATACGTTAGTACGACGCCATATTGTTTCTACCCATACTCTAAATTTATTCGTTTAATTTATTTAAAAACACATGTACAAAAATTATTTTGTATTAACGTGAACGGAAAATTTAATATAAGCCTAACCTACCCAAACCATGTATGGTATCATTACAACCTGTAAAAATATGTTAATACGTACATTTTTTCGTAATCGTATTTTTTAAACCACTGTTTCAGGTCGAAAACTATAAGATTTGATATTTTTTAACCAACAATTTTTGATCCCCTAAAACAAAGTGTAACTACTATATTATATGATTTATCATTGAAAACATTTCATATATTAACTTGTTAAACATAGCATTAAAACTTAACCATGAAATTGACAGTTAACTAACCTGGAATCAGATTTTCGTCGAACCATTTCTATTATCCTTAGCTCACTTATAACATGTATTTTTTGAACCCTTTTGATCACAGTCGTCAGTGACTACAAATCTAACTGTAGTCACTGAACAACGTTAATTATTGGCGGGAATTTTACTACTTGAAGTATGTAGCGGTACTTTTTTGTTTCCCCTGACTGTAGATATAAAACGACAGGACATGACCTGTTCCCGAGGAGTCATGATTGTGGGGTACTAACCACCCCCAGATGAGATTAAGGCTGCATGCGTAGAGCACAGTCGGTATTATAACATTGCCTGTTTTACCAGTCCCTCTTTTATCGCGATGACAACCGAAAGGCACAATTTCGATTCCCTTTGATTCTATTTTATTAGAAATGAGTCAAAATAAGAACAAGACCGAAAAATTATTAACATAATTGTTTAACAAATTTGTATTCACTTCATGCGCCCTGGTAAATAAATCATTTTAAAAAAGCAACCAGTGATTACAGATCCAAGAGTCACTGAAGCAACTGAGTTATTATTTAATTACAAAACAACTTATCGCCTTTGTTTTCGAGGACTCGTAATCTAGGGGGTCCCAGACACCCCATGATGATATCATGTCAGTATGTCTCCCTGTGGCTTGGGGAGCTTAGAATACGGCCACGGTAACCCCTGCCTGTGGTAAGAGGCGACTAAAAGGGGGAACACAAGCGAGCGAGAAATAAAAGTATCAAAAATGGCAATGGGGAATAGAAATAACAGTAAAGCGTAAATAAGACGTTTAATGTAATGCGTTTAACAGAAGAGTAATGTTGTAAAAAGGCGCGCAATGCGTCGGGCAAAAAGGAGCCGTTAGCACCTAGATTATGCCACCCTCAAAGGAGGGAAAATCAAATCTAATCATGTCGATATACAGAGAGACTCACCAGTGTTTCGGGGTCTCTGACACCCCAAGATGATATCTGGTCGGTATACAGAGAGCGCCACCGATGCATCGGTGACCCTGACACCCCGATTGCCATATGTCGGTATACCGAGTGTCACCTGTGCTTCGGGGTCCCTAACACCCCGGATGCGATAATGTCGGTATACCGAGTGTCACCGGTGCTTCGGGATCCCTGACACCCCGGATGCAATAATATCGGTATGCAAAGAGCGTCACTTGTACTTATATTAACTCCTTACAACAGTCCTGAGGATCGAAGGATGAATGAAGTAACAACGATTTATCAAAACATGTATAACGATTTATTGAGGAGCTATTCAAGCATGTTAAATTTCATGAAATGCAGGTACCTACCTATCTACTCACTAGCGTTACATTAGACGCGCATTTTACTCGCAAAACTGTACGATCTATGTATTTCTTTTCGAAGGAGTGTTGCATAGAATTTGCATTTAGTTTTCTTGCACATCTTATCCCGTTTAGTACGATCGTCATCGGAACATACGAATGTTACAATTTTTATTGATTCACTTTTTCGGTCTTTTTTCGCAAAGTTTTTTTATTTAAATCGAATTTCGTAAATTTATATTTTGAAACAAGTTCTCTCACGACCGCACCAAACATTAGAATAAATCTGCGCTTTATATCTGCCTACGTTAGTTTTGATTGCCAGTCTTCAATACTCTGGTTTTTTGTTTTTATTTTCTGTGCTTGTTGTTGTTTTTAGTATTCATTGTTCATTTGCCACGTTCGCGTACGCTCTATCGATCGTCCCAAAATTTCGAACGATTTCCAAATACTTTCGATTAAACTTTCAAATTCTGAAAAGAGGCTCGTATATTTCACGCGAACCCAGCGAGAGATCGAATAAAATATTTCGCCAATTTTTCAGCAAAATACGAACCAAGCGTTTTCATGAATCAAACTACATGTACATAAATTTTCTTTTGCAGGAATATTTATTTTCTCGCTGGTGTTCGATTGTTCCTTACGCTACCAATCGGAGAATCTTACAAACTTAATTTACACGAGGCAAAAAATCGTACATTTGTCGCTCGATGGAAAATTAACGTGAAAGTTTAATCGTCTCGTCTGTCTTTTACAGTGCATACGTGTCTCTGTGTATGTGTAAAAACGTTTATGTGTTCCTTCGTTTCTTTACTCGTGTGCACGTGTCGCTTTTTGATTCATAGTTTCCCGAGATATTTGATTATTTTCTTGTTCTCATCGAAACTTGTCGACGCTGGAAATTAGAAAGGCTGGAATCGACTACGATCATCCGTGAACTTCCACTCTACGACGATAAATGTGCATATTATCGAGAAGTATCGATCGATCGATCGATCGCTTCTTCGCCGGGAAAAATCGACGCGATTACAATTTACAAAGTTTTTACAGCTAGCAGATAAAACAAGGGCTCAAGACCAATTTTGTTCGTTCTCCTAAGGAACTTTTATATCATTTAATTTCATTGCAACTAAATCATCTAATTTCGAGTGCAAAATGTAAGACATGAAATTCGTTCAACTAAGCATGCTTCAATTTATTTAATTTTCTATTATTTTATCGAATTTTTAAGTCAGTTCGACAAAATGGTACTTAAAGGAAACAATGGCCCCCAGGAATTCATCTATGGATCTAAAATTGAACATCCCAACATTTCGAAGCAATATTTTATAATTAATTAACTTTCGGATCGAAGAATGAGTCAGCCAACAATTTACACTCGTAATAGCTTTTCTTTTTCGTTGTCCCTCTTTTCAAGAGATTTATTTTCTTCTCGTTTAGTTTTCAAAACTGGTCTCCAGCAACCGGCGTGTAAACACATCTACGACATGTGCACGATAAATCTTGAAACATATCGACAGCGATCAAGATCGATAGCGTACACATCGAATTCGTTTTTCACCAATTTCTTAAGAATCGATACACCGTGATTTATATTCTTTCTCCTTTCACGGTACTTAACGTTAATGTTATCAGCTAGTTTCGAAGAAACGTGACACCGTCTATCGGATAATCAATTTACAAACACTACTTAGTTGTGAAAGACACGATTGAATCTACAATTCATGGGATCGATTTCGATGGAAACTGGACAAAATTTTCATTTTTCACCCGTCAATGGTTCATTAAAAAAAGATACAACAAATTTGTATTAATACGTGACCAACATGGTTGGACATCATAACCTAAAATCGAAGATTTTAACATTCTAAAGTAAATTTATAATAAATTTTCGATAGCTTTGTGTTGAAACTCGAACGATTTTTGAAAGAAATTTTTAAGAGAATTCGAGTGTCCCTCGCATCCCCCGAAATCGAACCCCTGGCTACACACCATACACGGAGAAAAAGAGTGATACAAAACCTATGTCCAATCGAAACCGACACACACAGATAGAATAAACTGCCGTTTAGTTATTTAGTTAATAGTTGATCAGCAATTAGCTGCTTCCTTCTCGTTACGTAGATTAAACAGATAGGCATTCGTAGACACGCAATAATTACTTTAGATAATCATCTTCTTTACAATCTCTCTCCTATTTACATTGAGTACACATTGCCTTTCTTACGACGGCCTTGAGTTTTATCACGTGTTTTCTAGAATAATATCAAAGAAGAAATAAGAGAACTTGATCGTCGATCGATCGTGGAAAAATCGATGAAAATCGAGCGACTCCGATAGTCGAAATTTCGATAGTCGGAAAATTATTTTCTAGAAAATATTCTGCCTCCTTTTTTTTCTTCGTTTCAATTGAATTTCTTTCGGCAGAAAATCGGTCGTATTCCTCGCAACGATTAGTTAACCATCCACGCGATGGTATTATTTCATTATATTACAAAACGAGTACCTAATTCTTATCACTGTACTCTACTAACTGTAATAATAACGCTGCGTTACGAGCAAAATTGTACTTGTTTACAATTACAATTTATGGTAAATGGTACAGGTCGGGGACCACGATCGTCGAAAATACAAAAATTACACGGCGTAGATCAGCCTCTCTACTTCGTTTCCCTATCTTATCTACGAATATTGTTATATAATCCTCGATTCTCTATTCTTGCAAAGACGCTAATATATTACAATTTTTAATTAAATACAAGTACCACCGGAAGGATCGACGATTTTCTGGCCAAGTTTCGCGAATTTCCACGAAACGACCGACGAGAAAGTTCCGCGATGTTATTGAGAAAAGGAAGAGAAAATTTTACGGTTTTCTGCTTTGCATACGGAGTGAATTGTAGACACGAATAAAAATTCATTTTATGCAAAATGATTTCATGTATGTATACGTTACACGGTCCAAGGATTAACGAATAAATATTTTTTAGATTTTCCAAACTAACAATTCGCGTTTCTTATTTGAAATTACTACAAAAATTTGCATTATTTCAGTGTCTCGAAGATAGAGAAAAAGGGTTGCAATTATTCAGGTCGCACCCCGTATGTTTCAGCACACATTAGAAAGGTACAAGTATCGATGGTGTGTTCACGTGTGTGTTTAGAAGGCAGACGAGCATCTCTAAACGTTACTTTGGCCGTGAATTTATAGTGGTTCGAACTCGAATGAAAGTGCACAGGGATCGACGATGCTCGTTTGCCTCTGAATACTCGATAGTAGAAACGACTTTATGAAATTTCTTTACGTACATACACGTATCCGTTGAAGATTCACTATATATACACAGACGCGATGCTGATCGGCAGCCTTAATTAAGGGTTAATGAAACGCACGAGTCCACGAAGAGGTTAAGTTTCGCCTTTCGAGCGCAGTTCCACGCACTTCCGCTTATTCCGCCTCGGAACCGCGCTCGAGCAGTCCTCGCGTAAATAATGTATACAATTACAAAAGAAAATTCATTATTTCTATTTTCTAAATTTGTATACTATCCTTTGAGTATTAATTTTCAATGTATGAAATTTGTTTCGTTTCATTTTGTCTCGCGATTAACCCACGTTCACGAACGAAGCTCGAAAGGTTTACAAGTGGAAAATTGAAACTCGTGGATTTATTGAAAAATCTATCACAGAGAAATGTTATCGTTATCGTTAAAACACGAGGACTCCGATAGGCTAAGTCAGCAGATTTATTTACAAGTACAAGACACCAAGAACAAGGGAGACACGCAGAACATTAAATAGACGATCAATAAATCGATCAACGATCGAGCACTCGTACTTGTGTTTCATCAAATTCATTGCTTGCACTCGCGAATACCGCCATTTCGAAGATACGAGTGCACGCAGATCAAGAAGAATTCGAGAGTTGTTCGAGATCGAAAAGTGTATCTTCTTTTCGAGTTCTGTGAGTAAAACCATGCCGCAACGATATTTTGGATTACAAAAAAATATATCCTCGCGCGATACATTCGAACAGCTGCTAAATCCTCTATTTAAATCGATAAGTGCCGGATCGTTGAGCCTAGTACCTAAATACCAGCTATTTTTTTCAACTTTTCCACTTTTTTTTTTCTTATTTTTACACATACGTACGATGTTGAAGAGAGAGAGTAAAAACGAACCGTTTCGTGCCAAGGTTCTCGAAAGAGTTTCGTGGTATAGAGTGTGTGTGTGTGTGTGTGTGTGTCCTGTGTTTTGTCTCTTACAAGCTAGCTCGAGAATGGAAGATTAGCGAGAGGAAAAAAGAAAACTAGAGTTTCGAAGGCGCACGAAAGGGGTGAGAAACATCGTGTCGACCCCAGGGCGATTTCTTAATCCTAGAAAATACGTGTGTCCGCCCGTTTGAACCGTAATTTTAAGTACACACCTGCACGATTAAAACCTTGGAACCTTAAAGATATACCTTAACCGAGTGCTCTATGTTTACTCTATCTATGTACAACAACACGATCGAGATCTTTTGTCTTTCTTGTGCCTGATTATATACTTTTCTCTTATCTCGATTTGCTAAATAATCGAGTCTCCTCATTTTACACATCGTTTTATTCTCTAATCGTGAAAAGGCTTCAGACTACTTTCAAGGTACGCGAATTCTTCAGGTTACACGCTAATATTTACACTTACGTAGAGTTACCTTTCGTAATTTTCTTTTTTCTTTTTTTTTTTATACAGATATTACACGCACGTGACGAAGTATCTTTTATGCCACTTAGCTACAATGTAAAAAAAGAATCATAGATGTGAAATAAATTTTCTAACCTTATCGCTATGATGAAATTGACAGAGGATGTTTTTCTCTTCGAAATGAAAAATTTCGGGGACGATTTTTCGTGAAAATGGAACTATTTCTATCGATCGAACGCGAAAACTAAGCCAAACGTGGTCGATGACGATTTCTTCGTTGACGATGCTAAACTGGCAGTGCTGATGCGAATAATTGTATTTCCAGGGAAGAACTACGATCGGTAGAGTCCTTTTTAGAATGGGATACGCTGTAAACGTGGCACGTGCGAATGATATTGACCTTCCTCTCTTGTTCTATTCGTGAGTCGTACCTATCTACTCTTGAAAATTAAAAGAAATAAAACAACGTATCTTTGTACAAGAACGAGTCGCCTCGTCAAATTCTACGTTGATCATTGATTTTTGATGAAAAGTCTATTCTATCAAGTTACAATTGAAAAATTCAAAATAGCTTTTCCTGTGTCCTTTTAATTAATTATCCTGTCGACAAAACGTTCTCGAGAACAAATCACAATTTGTCATCCAGTGACGGAACAATTGCAACACCTACGCGTCTCGATAACTGTGCTTTCATTTGTATATCGTTCTTACTATTTTTATAGTTAGAACTCGATTTGTAATAAATTTTTCTCTCGTCGATCGACGCAGAATGGAACGAGGTGTCGCGGTTAAAATCATTTTTCCAGAATCTCAGCATCGACGATCGTTGCGAGATCCGGAAGTTCCCTAAAATTTAGATATTCATTTCATAAATCGTGCTGTGTACTATATCAATTTCTCGTGTTCTTATTTATTCTACGTGTGTGTTACGCTTACACTCGAATCGATTCGTACGTGTGTATGTGTGTTTTTATCGTAAACGCAATATATTAAGGCCTCTTAGTTACTAACGACAGGTCGTCGACCACGCTACGATTACGAATAAATTTTTCGACAGAATTCATGTCCCTTCTCGTTTCCGTCCCACCTTCGTTTCGATTATATATACACGAAACTGCTGGAAAGGTGCTTGGCTTCGATCAAAGGACGCAAATATTCGCGCCCCTCTTGCCTCGTCGCTTGGCCCCGGATCTCTATGCGTTGATATACGTGTATGTGTACGTGTACGTGTGTGCATGTATAAATAATAAATTAAACAAAATAGGGATTACAGAGAGACAGACTAGCCTTTTGTTTCCTATCTGTGGTATATCAACATCAATTTACTCTCGAGAGACAAATTTATTTGAATATTCATCTACGACATTAAACCTTGAATAGCAGAGTCTGGGTCAATCGAGACCCAGACTTATAAAACCTATGGTAAAATATAATTTTTAAACGAAAGAGCTTCATACGTTGGAAGAATAATTTCTAGAGAAAACAGTGTAAAATTTAAGAAAATAATAATAATATGAAATACGAAGTTAAAGTGGAATCGGGGTTCTCTCCATGGTCCGTCGTTTGAGGGTTAATCAATATCAGTCTGTCTCTCCGAGCAAATACGAAAATGATCGATAAAGCGAACCGATATTCGATAATGTCGAAGGGGGTTAAAACCTGAAAGAAACGTTTCGATGAAACTGAAAGGACGCGGAAAAGAAAGAAGAAGGGTGGAGGAAGTAAGAGTACGAAGGTGACGATAAGTGATGTGCCATATCGGAGACAAGAGAACCATCGTTTTCAATCGTTTTTTTCTTTACTTTTTCTTTTTTTTAATCTTCTTCTTTTATCCGTAGCAACATTATTGTTTGGTGCATCACGGTGCCAGCCACTTTTCCATAATGAAGGCAATATTTGCTAGTGTGTGTAGTATACGTGGAGTTTTCAAATCTTGTCGCTTAATTACACGTTATCTAATTTTTACGTAGTTTACCTTACGACTTATCAATTATCACCTAGCCTCCAAGTATCATTTTTTCTGAATGTCGAAAGAAAACAATCGACGCACTTCGATAAAACAAACAAAGAAAAATGTTGTGTACATTATACAACGCAAGGGTGCAAAGTATTTTCCCTTTTTGCTTCTTCATCTTCTTCTTTCTTTCTTTTTTTTTTTGTGTACTTGCGTGTCTTTTTTTTTATTTTTTATTTTTTTATTTGTTTGTTTCGTGGTATTATTTAAATGCCCAACTGACCAGCTACAGTGAGCTACGTTATTTACACATCTCGCCGTTAAGTAATCATCTAGATATTATCTTTTCGTTTTTTCGTTTAATAGGAAACATTAATTCCACCCATTCGTACACTCTTCATCTCATTCATTCATCTCGTAACGCTAGCTTTCCTCTTCACTTCGTTCAATTATTTCTTTTTTCCTTCGTTTTCCGTGCCGTTCATTCGGTGTGACTAATTAAACCGCGAATCGAATCGTTGCGAACAACTTTCGACGAAAGATCACAGCGTTCCTCTTACAAGACTTATCGCTCGCGAAAGGTGGACAGATAAATCTCTCCTTTTCTTTTTTTCTTTCAATCGATTAATCGCCAAGTTTGACGCGAGAACAACTTTCGACGAAGTTGAATAAAAAAAAGATGTTAAGTGATAAAAGAGCTTAGAATCGAGACTTAAAAATATGTATATCGACGAGTCTTTGATAAAACAGGAAGAGAAGAGATTTTTTAAAATTACATTAAAAGAAGAAAAAAAAAAGAAGAACGTTTGTACAGTTCGACGAATTTGTTGAAGATTAAAATTCTATAAAAGAGAAAGTCGAAGAGGAACGCGTTCCGGTTCGTCGAAAGTGTCGGTGGAGAATTGTTTATTGAAATTTTCATCGTCCCTAACAACGCCGGTTTTGTCGAATAAAAAGAAGCCTAGATATACTTTCTTGGTAGAACGACAGAGGATTAATTTAGTCGGACGTAATTAGACACTAAGAAAATTTCGTGTTTATGGATCGCGCTTTTTTACAGTTGCTAATTGCAGCGGTGATTCAGTTCATGAGCTACTTAGCGTATGTACACGGTGATCGCGATGAGATCTATTTACAAATGACGAGAGAAGCGCTCAGCTACCCGATTATGGATCGTGTCGTTATTAATTACAAAAAGAAGAGAGGGGGTACCGCGTCGCAACGATTCGATGTTTAGCGAAAGATTACATCAACACGGTTAGTTTAAACCAACTAATTTATGATCGCAAACGCGTGTTAATAGGTTCATTGCTATATGGGTCATCGGTGATTGACGCTTCGATACTTTGAGATTTCTGCAGAAATTATTTAACCCGACATCCAACGTGTAAATAAAATAATTTTTCCGATTATTCCGAATAATTATTCCGATACGAAATTTTCATTTCTAATTTGAATTACACGTCAATTACCGATGGCCGCTGTAACAATGAACTATTTGTAAAAGTACGTCGATGCAGAGAGCTAAAATCAGTGTCCTCTCCACGCGAAATTAGACAATTTTATTTCAAAGACGATCATCGTTCTGCAATTATTTTTCTGTCAACTTTTCCAAAGTCCTCGATTAAATACACCGGCGATCAGGAATTGATCGTTCGAAAAGTCTGTCTTTTTTCGTGTCGCTTGTCGCGATGGTATCGTTCCCCTTTCATCCCGATATACTCAATCTCTCTACAAGTACTTAAAACGATTACAATATACATGTGTGTAGTGTATGTGTGTGTGTGTGAATTCTTGTTGATTAGATCGTAGTAGAAATCAGTTGAGTCTGCGTAAAAAAGAGAACACATGCGTTGCTTTATCCTTTTGTCGTTCTCTACAGAACGAAACGAGCGTCGTCGAAATGCTACGCGTTGCTTAAAAATCGCTAAGTTCCTACGATATTTCCTCGTGAAAATCTACTGGCTACCTAAGAGTCTCTTAAACTAAAATCACACTCAGAACGTAATTACGGGTATCGTGCGCCTTTTGCCCGACCTCGAGACGCGTCTGAATTAGAAATTCAATCTATACACCCCGTTAACAAAATTCTCGATGACGTTTTGTTGAACGAGCAACAAACTGCGTGATCGAAGAACGATTCGAATTCTCGCAAGCGGAACGATTAATCCGTAATTCAGACACCGCGGAGGCCGATTCGATTGTTAAAAAAAAACATGTGAAATCAAGGCGAGATCTCGTACGGAAGCGCTTACACACATACGTAGCTTTCGAAATTAAACTAAGAAAAAAAAAAATAGTACCTATCTACGTGAAAAAGACGACGACTCCGGACGATTCGAACGATGGATCCTCTCGTGTTCACGATACCGTCGCGCTCGCCACGATTCGTCGGCAGTGCATTGTATTTATTGGAATAAATCGTGTATCATGAGGCTCCTAGAAATCCACGCGATTCCTAGTATTATCTCTTCCGATCGAAGATCGTTTCTCTAGATTAGAGAAAGAAAAATGCTCCCCATTGACGAGAGTATCATTTGCGCGAATCATTTAAGGCTCTCGTTAGCGACGCCACGAAACGACTAAAAATTCACCGATTCTCAATGTCTCTAATTATCGAGATCGTCCCGCAGGCTGAGACTTAGCTCGACAGATAAAAAATAAACGCCCGTTAGCGACGCGTTTACAATTGTTCGTTCTCCTTCCTCCACCGATTGCTTCTTCCTTTTCGGCCCGATTTCTTACAACTAATTCGAATTACAGTTCAGAAACTGTTGACCTCGAAACGGTGACGCGACCTAGCTAGGATGCCTCGTCTTTCGGTTTTATCCACTTTCCCTAATTCTCACCCTAATTACCTCCTCTTCGAGTGATCGCGAGACTTCGAAAAGCGTGAGATTTCTCTACTCGATCCTCCGTCGACGATGGACGACTGTTTCCTTAACAAAGGTCCTTACGCGACAACAAAAGTGAGATCTCGGACGCTTTCTCTGGCGCGGGAAGCGTCGTTCCGCTTCGGTAGTTACAAGGTAAACCGGAGCACCGTGTGCTCTGACGGAACGGTTCGTCGACGGAGGATTCGCTTCGGGGTCGTTTTACACGGTCGATCTTCGTCGAGGAAAGAAGCAACGGCTAGAGAGGACGAGGAAAAAGATTGACCCCCGACGCCGCCTTTCTTCGATTAGAAATGTGCCGCATGTCGCGCGTGTATGTGTGTACACGTATACAGAGAGATAGATCGTTTAGATAGTAAAAATCTAAAAGGAAAGGAAAGAAAATATATATATATATATATATATATAAAAAAAAAGAAGACTGGCCCGTCTATTCGACCCTCGCTTATAAGCTAACGCGTACACGTAATTCCTCCTCAGCTTCTCGTCTTCTTCTCCTTGCCGAGCTACGCGCAAGCTCGTATCCCTCGAAACCGATACGGTTATCTCATCCACCCTTGTTTCTTCATCTTCTTTGTCGCCACCTTCTGACGGCTTCTCGTTCGTATTCTTCCTTTACGTTTACAGCAGTGTTATGTATAATCTATATTTATAGATATCTATATACATATACGTCTATGTATATATATATATATCGGCTAGTCGAAAATTGAGGCTTCAATTGCTCGGCAGTCTATTGTCTCTCTTGGCTCTTCTCCGCGAGTATCCTTCCCTACGTCTTTCATTTCGTTTTATCCCTCTCTCCCTTTCTCTTCCTTCTGTACATTATTTATATATATACTCTGTTCTCTCTTGCCCGTCCTTAGGTCTTCCAGGTTGTCGCGGTACCCACATGCATCGATAGTTGTCTTCGCGCGATGCGAACGCAATCTTCTCGTAGTCGGTGCGTTCTTTCCTTTCTTCGTGAAGATCATCTCTTTTAATATCTCTTGCGTGATTTCTTTATCTTTATTCCCATTGGTGCGGGGAGGGTGGCAGTTCCGAGGGATGAGCCACCGTGGAGCTGCAAGTCGTACGAACAGATCATTAGTGGTTGCCATTTAGAAGATAGAAACGGGTCTGTGTTTCGTTCGGTTCGGTTCGGTTCCGTTTTCGTTTGCTCGTTACCCGGCTGGTAACAACTTCGTTCACTTGCGGGAGAAACAGAGGTGTAGTAGTAGTAGTAGTAGTAGAAGTAGTAGTAGTAGCTACTTTCAAATCTCCGGTGTGCCGTGTTCCGTACGAACACCGAACCGGGGACTTGGTAACATTTCTGCAACAGACATCAGTATTTCCGGTCAAATGCTATGCCCCCTCCTCCGACAGCGTTTTCGAGCGATTCTTCTTACCAAGCCCCTCGGTCGAGCATCGTCCAGCCAATGATCCTTCTTCCAATTCAATTCTATATTTCAAATAAAAAAGTACCTTTTATCCATTTTCTTTTTCTCTTTCTTTACGGGGGCCAGGGCTACTGTGTCGGATCGTTGGCTCGACGACACGACGATGCAGAGATTTGAATTCTAAACAGCAGACACGAAATGTACTCGACGAAAGTGCAAAGTGCTTCTCGATATTAGAAAAAAAAAAAAAAAATAGGCAAAGAGAAAGATTCTTTTCAATTTCAATTTAAACGGCACTTCGAGTTTCGTCGGTTGGGAGTTGTTACAGGGCGGCATCGTCAACGAGTGGCAGCAGTGCGTCTCGAATGTGTCGAATACGATTAGTGAGAGGAAGGCAATGATTAATTAAACGTTGAGTGATATCGTGGTGGTGGTTGAAAGCAAACATTCGTATGATAACATTCGCAATGGGAACGGATAGGAAAGATACGATACGCGAAAGTCACTTTCCTTGGCAAGGGAGTCAGGCTGTACTATAGAGAATTACAGTGGTTGATCAAATTATAGTGGTTGATCAAGTATTTTTAATCAGATATAGAGTAGCATATACAGTGATTGACCTTCTTTCTAAAAGAGTAAGAAGTATAATATAATGCATTTCTTAACCCTCGAACGGCGGACCATGGAGAGAGGCACAATTCTAATTTCATATTATTTTTATTTTTTAAATTTAAAATATAATTATTATTCGTAGCTTGAATACCTTTTGATAAGAAAAGCATTATATTTTATACTTTTTTCTTTTTTATAAAAACGTTATTCTATGCTATTTCTATCGCAGTTAAAATCGACGATGACAATTTGATCATCCACTGTACACGGTTTTGATTTCGTGTACTTGCATACTTCTACTTGTTCAATCTATCGTTTGAAATCGTCTAACTAACCGAGGCTCAGTGAAATACAAGCTCGAGCAAAATCACAGGATTAAAAACTGAATCGCTCTATTCGACTAAACTTCGAAAAGCCAGCAGGTGTGTGTTCAGAAAAGAGTCTCGATTGCTGTAATCGATGGGAAACGCTCTGCGTTCTCGTGACGATCGATTCGAAGAGTCGCGAGTGTACGAGTATATCGAGTTTTATATTCAATCGCTCTGGATTGAAACGAGCGAGGCAATTCTTTAACAAATGGGACAAGGTCCGCGCCAACTCGACTCTTCAAATTCTACGTTGCCGGGAAGATAACGGAAGGATGGGATGCGACCGACGGGTCTGGAGCTTAACAAAACAACCAAAAAATGCTTCGTCTGATTTCCATGCAGCTGTCAGCATGCGTGACAGCCGGCCTTTTGATCGTCCTTCTGTATATTCATTATTTTCCTTTATTTTCTTTTCTTATCCTCTTTATATTATCATCGAGCCTTGATTCGATCGTGTTTCTTTCCCTCCTGTTTCATAGTAATTTTTAATAACGTCTCCATTTCTTTGATACACCGTTTCCTTTAGTCCAATTTGAAAGCGAAGCGATAGAAATGAAAATTCTGATCATCGTTTCCTCGCAATCCACTTTTCTCCTACCACGAATTCCACCGTATCTTGTATTCGTGTTAAACAACATCGATCCTCGGCTTTGCTTTGCCAAATTCCTCGTAAAAGTCAGACATGAAAATAGCACGAAAACAAAGCGCGCTGGAAAAAGGACTCTATCTCCTCGTTCTCGTCTCGTTTCGCGGCCGCCCACCCCAATCCCTCTGCGTCGAAATTATTTCTGGACTTTGTAAAAAAGTAACTCTACGCGTCGGTGGAACATCCTTCCCGCTACTTTGGGACGAAAACGGCAACGGGAGTCTTTTTTTTTTTTTTTTTTTTTCAAATTTCGCGGAGAAACGCGCGGTCGACGAACGAAACGAAGAGGAAAAGAAGAATCCTAAGAGCGAGCACGATTTAAAATAAAAAGAAAGAAGGTTATTTGAAATAATCAAACTCGGGTCACCTTCCTCTGTTGGCAAAGCAAATTTCCATCGAAACTCGTATCGCGTCCGAAATTTGGCGAAATGACAGTAATCGCGCGATATCTTCTCGGTTCGACCGAAAAAAGAGTCCGAAAAAATTCTCCTTCAGTCTCCTGGTATCGTCTACCATTGTACCGTAACACGACCTTCGCAGAAGAGAGTGAACGAAAAATTGAAAGAAATCAAAAAAAGAAGATTAAAAAAAAAAATGTCAAATGAAACAGAACAAAGAGAAGCGTACAAAAATGAAAAGGCAAAATCTCTTCGTGGTAGCAGCGCGGAGTCTGATCAAAAAGGAAAAAAACTTCACTCTGTGTTTCTCGTTGAATTCTTTTTCTTTTTCCCCAATTACGATTACAATCGCAAACAGAAAAGAAAAAGGGTTACGCAAGTTTCAAGATTACGGTCATTGTGCCAAATGATCGATTCGAAAAAGGAAAACGAAATTATGGCAGAGAATGGAGAAAGTTATCGCGGTTTTGATAAGGGTTGATCGTATTCTCGATCTTTCCCTTTATTTCTCAATTAATCGCGACGCGATTGTTCATTTTCTTTTTTTTATTTCTATTCAACTGAAGGCTGCATGGTTGATCAGGCCTTCTTACACTCCCTGGGTCAAACAAAGCGCTCGTTTCAAGCGTTATTTACAAGTACCACTTTCACAATGATTCAGGATCAACATAAACGCACCAGCGACCAGTATATTTAGATACTTTTCTAAGAATTTTCTCCGGCGTCGAACGAAACAACGCGTGAACAAGGAATACACAAAATTCCGTGATATTTAATAAAACAGTAGATACGCCAGATACGTTGTCGACAAAACGAAACGATAAACGGATAGTTAGTATCACATACTCGTGACTTTGATGGATAGCGTTCCACCTTATCACCTTCCCAGTTCATTTCTACGTACTGTAACATTTATCAATTATAATTGAAAAGTTTCACCACTTACGTTACCGAAACTATTCGGGAAGTATCTTATCGGTCGGCTCAGTTGTTTCGAAGCGGGCTCCGAAATATTTGCACACGCGTTGAAAATCGAAGGTGAACCGATTCGCCGATCGATCGGCAGTGTAAACTCGATTATCGGAGATTTACGAGTCCGAGTTCTCCCCCATCGGCGAGGTGTTTTTCAATCGTGTCAGCTCCGATCGGAAGTCGGTCGAGCGAGCCTGGTCGCTGGTGTGTCACCCTGACCCAACTCACACATATATACACTATACACACCGACATCTACGATCGTGTGTGTATATAATGTATAATAAATATATACATATTTATCAATCATACAGAGTGTCTAAACAAGAATGTAAGAAGCAAGGCGGTGACAATACGACGAGACAGTTAATATAAACATGATGAAATGTTAGGTAACGATAAAACCATAGGGTAGTAAAAATGGTAGAGAACTAATTAAAAATAATCGTAAACAAATACGAAGAAGATTATGAAGAATAAAAAGAAGACGGATATTATGCGATAAGGAAGACAAAACGTAAAAAATTGTTGGTAAAATGGTTTGTTCAAGTACCTCTGCGAGCGAGGTCGCGTCGACTAGAGCTGACTCTCTGTTCGTTCGGTTCGTTCAGGAGGAGACGTAACACGATTGGTGGTAGTAGTAGTAGTAGTGGTAGTAGTAGTGGTAGTAGTAGTAGTAGTGGTAGACGATAGCGGTAGTAGTCGATAGTAGCTGACAGTGGTAGATAGCTGATTCGGTAGTACTGGTAGTGGTAGTAGTAACGTGTACGTATACGCGGCGTAGGGCGCTGGGTCGGCGATCGGCTTGCTCTAACTTGACGGCAATAAGCAACACGACAAATGTTACATATAATATTTCAACAATATCACATGAAATATAATAAATCAATGTTTCTTATCTGATCTTTTTCCTTTCTTCTCTCTCTCTTTCGCTCTCTCGAAGGTTACGGACGAGCATCGGGACAATCTTTCTAACGCCATATATATAGTACTATTTGTAATTCAAACGAATTAGAATGACGGTTTTCATCATCTAGTAAATATAGAAAAATTTGGCAACGCTATAGATTCGTATATTAATTAATATCATTATGATTCTAGGTCGTTTGGATTATAATGTACTATATTTTGCTTTGAGAGATTGCCCCCATGCTCGATTCCTGTTCTAAGGGGGCTCTAAGGGAAATCACAATCGTCTGCGGTAACTTTGTAAAACCTTTGTAAACTCTTTCTCTCACTCAGCTTCTCAATTTCAAAGAATCTCGACCATCTATTTCCGGTCCTCCCACGAGCCGAGAGATCGCACACAGCGAAAAAGTTAGCTACCATGTGCTCGATCGTCCTCTCTCTCTCTTCCTTTCTCTCTCTCATCGATACTATCATCGCTGACACAACATTTTCCTGTATTTTCTTAACAAGTTCAGCGCGGGTGATATCCTCTAAGAAGGCGAGCGATAAAATTTCACGACTATGCGCGTCGAGCTCGCCGTCTTAAGATTTCATCGGTGCTGAACGTATTGAAAAAAATAAAATAAAATAACTCTCCGCCGGGGGTTAATTGTTAATCGTTCGTCCCGCGGAACCGGCGGAAGCGAGCCGAGTTTTCGGTTCGTTCTCGAGGCAAACAGGAACAAGAACGTCAGAGGGGTGAGTCTCTGCCAGGACAAAAGATCGTTTTCCTCCTGGTTGCTTTCGATCGTTTCCTTCTCTCCCCGCCTTTCTTTTCTCTCCTTTTCTCCACGGTTTTTTAATTTCCGTTCACGATACGCTCGGCCCGTTTCACCCTTCTATTTTCTCCCTCGTCTCTCCCTTCGTCGTTCTTCTTTCCTTCGTTTTTCTCTACGTTCATTTTTAATCCGGCTTCTTCTTACCGCATCCGATTCGACTTCAACGAGAGGGAAAAAAAAAAGAAGAAAAATAAAAGAAATACACTGTGTGCCCCTCTGCGAACCCTTTCACTCTCTCTCGCTCTCTCTTATCCACACCCAGGCACAGGTTCTATAGATTCTCTTTCTCTCTATGAATTTTCTATTATTTTCTATGTAAGATTCGATAGGGGTTGGTCTTTGGGAGATGGGAAAACGCGACACTGGCCGAACAGAGATTTCGTTTGAAATGTAGACTAGGCGATTTACGTTGCCCCGTCCTCTTTCTCACATACCACGCACACCCTTTCTCTCTTCCTAGATTTAATTCTATAGAGATTATTTAGCTCCGATAATCGATCGTCTATTAACCTCGATGATCCGCCACCTACGGCTTACCTTGCGAAGCTCTTGAACGCCGCGGACTGCGGATTTATGCATAGCGGCACCCGCGACGTGTTCAGCTGTTCCGCTATAAATTTGTGCATCTCCTCTGAAACAAACAAAACGTGCGATTGTCGGATGAGAAATACTTCTATTCGCGTCTCTTTTATCCACGCGACGGTGGACCGCGAAGACAGGGGTTCTCTTGGGGGATGCAGATGGAAGGGGATGAAATTGTAATTTCTATTCGTCGCGACTTCTCTTCGGGATCCAACAAATCTTCATCCACCGATCGAATACATTTTTAATTAAGAAAACTTCATTTACCGTAGAGAGTGTAATTCTTTTCTTAACGAAGAATTGCATAAAATTCTCGGAGGTAATCTTGAGAATCGAGAAGTGTCTTGCGACACCTTTCTTGGACACGTGCAACTATTTTAATTCGAATCTTTGTTCGCGAGAAACGCGATTACTCGTTACGAGCATCGCATGCCTGACGTATGACAAAGTCGAATGCAGAAACAAATCTCTGTCGTTTATGATAATCACCCATTGTCGAGTGGCAATGTAATTAACTCGCAAGGGACATTACCCAATCGACACACGCCGATTTTGATCCCCTTTGAGTATGATATAGAACTCAAAAAAATATTTGACACGTATTTTTTTTATCGCCAATCGTCCATGCTGAAGGGGTGAAAAAAATGACAAAAATTTATCAAAAAGGTGGCTACATAGAAAAATTTGCTGTTCAGGAACACACAAATTTCATTTGGAATTTTTCCCCTGCACCTAATAGTTCCTGAGATGTTCAAGAAAAAAATATGTTTTGCAACCCCAACTTTGAGGGCTATTTTCACCCCTTCGGCATGGACGATTGCCGATAAAAAGAAATACGTATCAGATATTTTCTTGAGTTCTATATCATACTCAAAGGGCATCAAAATCGGCGTGTGTCGATTGGGTAATGTCCCTTGTCAGTGTCATCGAATACACTCATGAGGTACGGATCTAATCGAAAGCAGGGTGATTGAAATTTCACTCGAAATCTTTTTGCTCGAAATTGCAAAGCAAAGGGTGATTGGAAGCAGCAGGCGCCACCGTTTTGCCGCGCTAACGAACGAATAGCGTGCAATCTTTAAACGCGATATTAGACCCAGTTTCGCGGCGATTACCGAGGGTAGAAAGTCGTACCCGATAAGTTCACGGTTCCCTGGCCGCAATGGTGATAAACGATGATTTATCACGGCTCGTACACAGGCCACCGTATGAAACGCACGCGACTCTATCGCATCGTTGTCGCTATCGAAGCAGCTGGCCACGTGTCCAAGACGTTGGCTATTAATATCGCGTGTCTGAGTCACGGGCGATGCATTTTTCTCTAACACTGTGTAACGTTAATCGTTACACGTTGGGAAACCCTTTCGCTGACAATTCTGCTGTCGTACAAACCCGACCCGGCTTCAAGGTTGCCGACCAAATGATTTATTGGATCACGAATAGAATTGAAAATCTCGAAGCCACAGTAAATATACTGCGAATTAGAAAAATAACCCCCCGATAGACAAGTGTGATGATCATAAGATGCCGGAATGAATTTTCTTAAACTTCGCAGCAACTTGCTCTGAATTTTATTCGTATAACTTAGTTTACTTCAAATTTATACAGAATTTACATTCTGTCGTGGGTTCAATTCTTTATCATAAAGAGCATAAACTTATTTATTATTTCTTGTAGTTATATGGCTTCACCAGCTGTACTCATATGATTGAAATATAATTGAAATTCGAGACGACAAGTTTCAGTCATTATGTAACATTATCATATTTATCATTAATAGGTTCAGTGTTGTTATATCATGTGTCTTCAAATAATATACTAAATATTTGAACTAGGTGTATTACAAATATGATTCCAAGTTATGAGGTAAAATTGTTGCCATTATATACATAGCTCCATTAACTATCGTGATTGATATGATATAAATAATATAAATATTATTAAATATATAATATGATATAAATTTGAGAAAATAAGCAATATATTTATTTTCCGATAGATTTTCGGTCTTGATCGGGTAAATTCGTATTGTTTATCATGACAACTCTTCCGACATATTTCCAAACAAAGCCGTTTTTCTATCTGCTGTCGTAGTCGTAACATACCAGTGCATATAACTTAAATGTCGTTAATATTATTAAACTTCTTATACGCTATCGTTTTATTCAAATATGTAAATTTTAGTTTCTTAAACTATATACAATAAAGAAGGAAGGTTAAAACTTAACAATTTATGTGAACTATATCATTTTATGTGAGGCAAAGGGAGGAAAGTTGGACCAGAAGGAAAGACGGACCATTGGAAATAAAATCGTAATTATGAGAATATAATGGCGGATACACACAAAGGATGAGGTTCTCGAGGATTTCTAATTGCGATATCTGGCTCCTATTACGTTAAAGTTTGGCTACCCCTTTTATATTGTCATACAGCTACGATTTTATTTGCAATGATCCGTCTCTCCTCCTGGTCTGACTCTTTTCACTTTAACCTACGTAAATTTGTGTGTACGAATACAAATTGTTACCTTCTGCCATGATGCAAAGTTTAGGTAAATTTTTCATCACCTTCAAAGTTATGGCATGAGACAAATATGAGTCAAAGTTTTTATAAACACATATATTTCATCTATTGAATATTTTCTTTTCATCATTATATGCCATAAACTTGACACCCAGATGCGCACTCATAAAACGCACAACCTTGCTGCATTTCATGATTTAATATGATGCAAAGTTGCTGTCTATCAGGAAACGGAAGAAAATGAAATTTTTATCCACTTTAGAACTGCAAGATTAATTCTTACCTTTAACCTGCTGCACGGTGGTGAGCTTCCGTTCCCAAAGATCATCGAAGGGGTGAGATGTGGCCGGCTCGAAGTCTCCGGTGTACTGTCTCATCCCTCCGCTGGTCGTGTAACAGCACGTGCACATGCAAGAGTGATATCTGAGTCTTCCTTCGTCGAGATAAGGATGCGCCAATGCATCCACCACGGTGATCCTCTTGTCCTGCGGGCAAGTTCGTTAACGAGGTAAACGTACGTTCGACGATGAAACGATACGCGTTCACGAAAAACGATCGTGTCCGTTAGTACGGTTCGTCTGTTTCGGTGACTTTGCTATTTACGAGGCTAGTTAACGATGTTACCCTCCTGGGAGGTGGATAAAAACCGCTCGAACGGCGACTGGGACAAATAAATTTACCACGGGGCTTCCTATCGATCCGATGGAACTTGGATTAGCTGCAACACGTTCGATGAATTATCGATTAATACACTCCGGCGATTGTATTTTGGGCTCAGCTGAAATGCAAACGATAAATAATGCTCCGTGACCTCGATTCAGGGTACAACGAAACGAAGATCGTTCGGTATTTCGAGAAGGTTTATGTAATTTTGAAAAAAATTAACGCGAGATGAATCGAACGAGGAATGATCCTGGTACCATTTATTATTTCACCGATCGTTGAATATTTTTAAATGTTTTATTTAATTTACACGCGTAAATGTATCATTTAACACGTCGAATCTAGCCTCGATTAGATGTCCTACTGACCCTGTCCTAGTAAAACGAAACGTTGCAAGTTTCTCTATTTACAGGAAGCACTTTAAACAAAGTGCGCGAATATTCCAAGTTTCCCGTGTTGCAACATTATTATCACCAAATTCAAGTTTCCATACTTTGCTTCCTTCGCATCTGTTCAACTTCAAATTCTAATTAATCTCTACCGACATCGAAGTTTCTTCCTGTTTTCCATGATACACCGCAAAGCTACGCAAATTTACTGTAATTTCGCGCGAAGTTTCGAAGAATGAAGCATCAGAAAAGTTAGCAAACGACCGATGGAACATTTCGAAACGTTTTAGAGTCGGTTGAAAAGCGTCCTACAAGTTCGCGTCGATTATTCATTCCCGTATCGCGAGGCTCAACCTGTTACTCGAAACAGTTAACTTGGAGTTCTAACGATTATTCAAATATTTCGAGGCTCGTGATTTTCACGTCGAAAGGTATTTCTAGCGTGAAACAAGCGTGCACAGGTTTACACGATCCGACCGTGTCGTCCAAGATATCGACGTAATTCCAGCCAGAGATTTAGGAAAGTAGGCTGTCAAGCGTTGGCGTGCTGCCGCGATTTAATAAGTACTTAGTAACCTACAAAGATGTCGAGATATCGTTCGATCGAGGCTAATAGCGCTAAGTTTCTCGCTTAGTGGTGAAATTCTGATAAATATTGCCGGTATCCATTGCAAAATTCTTCAAACATCTAACTTATATTCTGATACGCTCGTCTTTTTTAAATAGTGATAGGAGAAAATTTCAAATTTTTCAATATTCGTAGTTCAGATACTCAAAGATCTAAACTATAAAGCTTGGAAAGCTCAAAATTCTAAGCCATAAAGCTTGGAATATTAAAGGTTCCAAATGATAAACCTTGGGATACTGGAAATTCTAAATTGTAAATACTTGGAATACTCAAAATTCTAATCCATAAAGCTTGAAATATTAAAGGTTCCAAATGATAAACCTTGGGATACTGGAAATTCTAAATTGTAAAGCTTGAAATACAGAAAGTTTTAAATAGTATAACTTAGAATACTCAAAGTTTTAAACTGAAAAGCTTGGAATACTCAAAATTCTAAGCCATAAAGCTTGGAATATTAAAAATTCTAAATAATAAATCTTGGAATACTGAAAGTTTTAAATAGTAAAACTTAGAATACTCAAAGTTCTAAACTGCAAAGCTTGGAATACTCAAAATTCTAAATCATAGAACTTGGAATATTCAAAATTCTAAATAATAAACCTTAGGATACTGGAAGTTTTAAATTGTAAAGCTTGGAATACTGAAAGTTTTAAATAGTAAAACTTAGAATACTCAAAGTTCTAAACTGCAAAGCTTGGAATACTCAAAATTCTAAATCATAGAACTTGGAATATTAAAAATTCTAAATAATAAACCTTGGGATACTGGAAGTTTTAAATCGTAAAGCTTGGAATACTGAAAGTTGTAAATAGTAAAACTTAGAATACTCAAAGTTTTAAACTGCATAGCTTGGAATACTCAAAATTCTAAATCATACAACTTGGAATATTAAAAATTCTAAATAATAAATCTTGGGATACTGGAAATTCTAAATTGTAAAGCTTGAAATACAGAAAGTTTTAAATAGTATAACTTAGAATACTCAAAGCTCTAAATCTTACAACTTGGAGTACTTAAAGCTCTATATTTTTAAGTTTAAGATACTCAAAGTTCCATATTTCGACAGACTCGTCCTTTTCTCTCCTTTCAATTCTTTTTATTCTAAAGAGACAGTTTGACGATAGGATAATAAAAATTTTATCGCAACTTTTGTCCACTCCGTCAGATTTTACGATCTCCTTCGAGGTACTTTCCTCTTTTTACGAAGTATCGTCTGGAAGGTTTCCGAACCGTTCATCGAAAGCTTTTTTCTTTATTTATCAGACACATGTACCGTGGTAATATCTCTGGCAAGTTTCGAACCGTAAGCTCCAGGGACACTGAAGTTTCTCTCGGTATATATTTCATCTTCGTTGAAAAGCAACGACGTTTTCGCGACTTATCGTTACAAGGACGTCGATAAGGGTAGCCAAGCACTGATAACGTTACGCTTCCTCTTCTCAAAGTTTCACGCTTCTCGGTAAACAGCAAAGAACAAGTACCCGACTGCGATCTATCGCGCGATCACGATATGCTTTCCACACCAGGAAACTGAGCAACTTTTCAACTTCCATCGACTTTGTTTACCACGAGTATAAACGTCGATTTCATTTATAGAGAATAAATTTTCATTGTTTATCGAGTTCAATCGAAAATATAACTATTAATTAAATATTTTGATTTCTAACGAAACAAAAGGATTGAATTCTTTGAATCGATAAATCGCAGTCAACAAGTCGCCCTTTATTAGACCTAGAACCCTCGTTCAACCCGCGAATAAAAATTCATCCCCCAGCGGTCATTGTATCGCGTTGAACCTTTGTCAGTGTCCCTGGTCCCCTTTCCTCTTATATCGCGAATCGAAAGATCTCTTTGAAGGGGAAACTTACCGGATCGAAGACTAGCATCTGGCAGAGCAAATGGACGGCCTCGTGTGTCGCCTGGCTGCTGAGAGTGTAGAGGGCCGTCAACGAGGGTGGTTTCGGCGCACGCCTCAGCATGTGGGATCTCGCACCCTCGCAAGCATACCTCATGTCCTCGAGGGTCGGTGTGCCCAGCAGTTCTGTGATCAGTTCCAGCTGCAAACGAATGGAAACGTGTTCGACTTTAGAAATTGCCTCTCGACACTGTTGAAACTTTACTGCTGGACATTGGAGGGTAAACGAACGGGAGGAGAAAGAGAGAATCAACCCTCTTGACGATAAAAAACAACTTCTTATCTATGAATACCTTTCACCTCGATATTACTTCCAATCAGAGTTTGTACATGTTCTAATGAAAAAAAAAAAGTTGTCCTTCTGTAGAAAAACAAAAAGAAAATTTCAAATGGATCAAGAATAATTCTTGGCTGAATTCTTTGAATCAAACACAGAGTTACTTGCGTTAAAAAAGAAATTTTGAGAATAATTCAGAAAACGTTATGAAAGAAATGAAATAGAGGAATTAATGGTACAGGGACTGACCTGTTGCACAGGACTTTGCGCCTGGAAAAGAATCCGCCGACGAAGAAGTTCGCCGAAAATGCAACCGACACTCCAAACATCCACGGCGGCCGTGTAATGCCGTGCACCCATCAGGATTTCCGGTGCACGATAATACTGCGTCACCACTTCCTGGGTCATATGCTTGTTCTGGTCAGGTTCTTCTACTCGGGCCAAACCAAAGTCGCAGATCTATTTACAAAAAATTTATGCAATCTCCCTTTTGCGATACTCTCTTCGTTGTTTAAAGGGTTGCTTTTAACTGCGTTCAGTAATGTACTTGGAAATTATGGTATTTACCTTTAATACGCAATTACTATTCACGAGTAGGTTTCCTGGCTTAATGTCCCTGTGGAGGATTCTAGCCGAGTGGAGGTACTTGAGTCCTGCAAACAGAAAAGATTTTTTGCTGGATTTAGTTAGATTCTCAAAAGTTCAAATTGCAAATTTTCGAATACTCGGAGCTCCGAATTTTCAAATGTCAAGTATTAAAAATTCTAAATCTCGGGACTTGGAATTCTCAAAGTTCCAAATTTCAGGATTGAAATACTCAAAGCTCCAAAGACTTAAGTTCAAAATCTCAAAGTTTCAAAGACTTGAAGTTACTAATCTCAAAGCGTCAAAGACTTAAAGCTCCAAACACTTAAAGTTCCAAATCTCAAAGCTTGAAATACTCAAAGCTCCAAAGACTTAAGTTCAAAATTTCAAAACTCCAAAGACTTAAAGTTCAAAATTTTAAAGCTTCAAAGACTTAAAGCTCCAAAGACTTAAAGTTTCTAATCTCAACGCTTGAAATTCTCAAAGTTCCAAAGACTTGAAGTTCGAAATCTCAAAGCCTCAAAGACTTAAAGCTCCAAAGACTTAAAGTTCCAAATCTCAAAGCTTGAAATTCTAAAAGTTCCAAGGACTTGAAGTTCTAAATCTCAAAGCTTCAAAGACTTAAAGTTCTAAATCTCAAAGCTCCAAAGACTTAAAGTTCCAAATCTCAAAGCTCCAAAGACTTAAAGTTCCTAATCTCAAAGCTCCAAAGGCTAAAAGTTCCAAATCTCAAAGCTCCAAAGACTAAAAGTTCCAAATCTCAAAGCTCCAAAGACTAAAAGTTCCAAATCTCAAAGCTCCAAAGATTAAAAGTTCCAAATCTCAAAGCTCCAAAGACTTAAAGTTCCAAATCTCAAAGCTCCAAAGACTTAAAATTCCTAATCTCAAAGCTCCAAAGACTTAAAGTTCCTAATCTCAAAGCTCCAAAGCTTGAAATTCTCAAAGTTTGAAATTTCAAGCTTGAAGTACTCGAAGTTCTAAATACCTTGAGTTCGAAATCTCGAAGCTCGAAATTCTGAAAAATTCCAAAGCCCAAAATTCGAAATTTGTAAAATTAGCATTTCGTATTTCGAGAAACCATCAAAGTCAAAAACGACCTAATTTTCCAGCAAGATCCCAGCAAAAGCTGAAGCGGAACGGACCGTTCCGGATGTTGAACGTGGAAGATAGGAAGGTTTTCGTCGAGCGAAATGCACGACCTCGATTTCGACAAAATTTCCCGCGCCTAGTCATTAGAGGCTCTTCGCTTTGCTCGACAGATGCACGCATTCACCGGAGATTATCCTGAGCGAGTATTTAGCCGCTCTACTAAAAGACGTGTACCAATTTTTTTATTTTAACGCCTTCATTCCAACTCTCTATCATCCATTACGGATACAGGACAAATCACCGTATCAGTTTATACCCTCGTTATTGCTAGATCGTTCAAACTTTTCATCCGTACACGTTGGTAATGAATGTCAGTTACACAGAGAGAGAAAACGATTCACCGGACTATTAACATTTTATCGAACGAGCTGACGCATTAAGTCGCGTTTCTATGTGTGCCCGTCATCAAGGACAGATTGCATCGAGTCTCGTCGGTTATTATTTCGCGTACATTAAACCCGTATTTTTTCTTTTAAACCAGTTTCAAATTGAATCGAATAAGAAACCTGACCCTATTATAAAACTTGAATAAAACAGAAAGAAACATTCTTTAAAAAAAAAAAAAAAAGAAGAGGAGATCTGAAATGAACAGATTTAAAAGACATCGATGTCGTTGTACGTACACCCCTTTTCGAAGTTACATTCTCACCCTCGTTCACGTCTTTGCGCACCCTTGCTCTTAAAACCGCGAGGCGAAACGATATATACGCGTCCAAGGCATCCAGCGATAAGGGAAGCAAGAGGGTTGGAAAGGAAAGGGTTTGGTTTAGGGCGGGAGTTGAATGCGGACCAGATTACTGGGCCACCCCTCGCGTCAAAGCGCAATTCGATTTTACGAAAGGGGTGGCAAAGGCTTTGGTTAACGGACGTCGAGCGTCGCGATGCTTTGGTTAAACGCTCGTGTAATCCCTTCCAACCGAACGCGTGTGAATGATTTTCCAAAGATTTCTACCTCCCAAATTGTTTCTACTGTTGTTACCAATTTTATATATTTCATCGGCCATGCCAATCAACGCGTTAAACAGAGTTTTAATTTTAATTATCAACCGTCTTATAGTTTCTCGTAAATATCGTTGATTGGATAAATTCGGTAAACGAGACAATAGAATGAAGAGGAAAAAAAGAGCATCGAACGATAACCGTCTGGCGTTATCAGCGAGAGGGGTAGCGGCAGCCGAGCGATAGAGATAAAGAGAGCAACGCGGAGGGGAGAGACTTTAATTACCGGCGGGTGAATTCACAACCGGACGCACCCACGGGGCAGATTACCCCGGTAATATTACCGAGTTTTATTGCGGGGAGAGAAAAGTCGAGGTCTGAATGCGGCATGACTCACGGCACACTCATCTGGCACCGATGTTTCTGCTCTTATTGCAAACCCCCTTGCCTTTCTCTCCCTCTTCTATCATTCTTCTCTTTCTCTCTCTCTCTCTCTCTTTTTTTTTTGAACTTCTTCACCACCCTTTCACCTCCAACATCTCCATCTCTCATCCAGACTATCCGTTTTCAACTTTCCATCGTTTCACCTTCACCGTTGCTTCACCCCTTTTCTTTTTTTCCTTCTCCGACGGTTTCTTCCGTCCCTCATCGGTTCAGAAGACTCTCCTTGTTCATCAACAAGGCGGTAGTGAAAATGAAAAGGCTCGCGCTTTTACGAGGGATCATTGTCGCAGCTGGTCGCGCGATTGGTCGCGTCGCGACGTACCGGGGGTTAAAATAATTACACCGACGACGACACTGTTTACTAATATTCCACAAGATTCTACTGTACATGCCTACTGAAGTTTGATGTTCTATTAAAGATAATCCCTTTAGACCAGTGTTTCCCAACGTGAGGCCCACGCCCCATAGGGGGGCAATTTGATTGTTAAGAGGGGCAATTCGAAAATGGATTCGTCCAGAGTTTAAGTTAACCGTATGACGACTCTCAGTCGCTACTCGAGCTGGGTAAATGTCCATAATTACTAATAATTAAAATAATATAGAAAATTATTTCCTACTTGAATTTCGGTTCTCCATTATATGTTTTGAAAATATACTTACTGTGTTTCCTCAACAATTTTCTAGTGATTTCTTTGTGAAGCCTATCATTTAAGTTTCTTCAGTGAACAATTCAATATTTGAATATTAAAAATTATATTTACGTTACATAGGGGGTATAAGGATTTTAGAAATGTTTAAGTGGGACATGGCACAAAAAAGGTTGGGAAAAACTGCTTTAGACGAACTCTTTTCTATGCAAACCTCTTCTATGCGATCACACACAGTAATTTCTAGCTATAGAAACTTACTTAACACGTTGAATACCATGTCACTCATATTTGGATGACACTTGAATTGTCAAAGGGAGCCATTGTCTATATTATTAGGAATTTGGTTACTTATATAATTAGAAATATTTTTATTAGGTATCTGAAATAATGGATAATGGAAATTGTTGAGTTTATTAAACAACTTGAGGCAAAAAGAGTAATCTATTAAATTAGTTTGATTCTAAGAACGTCTCGATCGTCACCCTTCTAATATTCTCTTTTAAATAAGCTCTCAGATTTCCGAACTGTTTATAAGAACAGATAAAGGCGTCGAACTGCCCAACAGTTTTCTTATTAAGAGTTTAGTTCTGTTGCATCTTTCGAAGTCTTTAGACGTTCCTTGAGATTTATAATAAACTTCATTTTTCAATTTAAAAGTAAAGATACGGTCTGTTATTTATTTAATAACCATATCCTAACAGAAATAACAAAATAACGGAAAATAAACAAAATCAGAGAAAAATAAAAATATTATCTAATGAAATTTTCAACAGCGTTTCTGTACTCTTTCGAGGTCTTTGTCACACTTTCGTATAATGTAAAGGGTAACCGTGTATACTGAATAAATAAAATAAATAATCAATTTGCTGTTAATTAATTAAGAAATCTTACGCCTCATCATGGTCAATCGTGTTACATTTTCAACGCGACGAAGATGATCGTTTAACTATCAAGCTCGCGTCACGTCGAATCTGTTAGGTTTTAATTATCGTCGAACGTGGAGAACGTGTTACGTTCGTCCTGCTCGAAGGATAGACCGGTGGTCGCCAGGATTCAGCCATTACGCGTGGCTGCCACGTCCTGCGAGATAAATTGCGTCCACGGATTAATGTAATAGAGTGATTAATCGCGCGAACGACGATCGGATGCAAGCACGTGCTCCACGCGCTCGATTATATCCTGTTTTACGCGGGAGGACTTCGATGAAACCAGTTCGAATGGGCAGCTGGAAAATTCCCAATAACGATCCTCTGTCTCTGTAATACCGTGGCGACCAGCGAAATTTCTAGCGGAGGAAAAGGCCGTAACAAGGTTTAATAAAACAATAATTCGTACCGTTTTGAACGGGTCAGGAAGTTCCTCTCCCCCCGCTTGGAACACGTCAAATTCCCTTTTTAAGGAAAGTATTTTCTCTTGTCATTTCAAATAGCAACAGTTATTTCGTATCCTACCGATTTCCCTCGCATCGATCTTGACGATCGATCGCGTTCTCGAATAAATCTAAACCAAGTACATCGTCCGTGTGACCAGAGGATTCGCGCTTCTTTGTGAAAGTGGATTTCAATAGATGTGTGCCGAAAAATCTGTCGACCCTCTGGTGGCACGGTATTTATAGCGCGATATTTCTACCCGCCTGAAAATAGTAGCTCGCCAGAAGGTCGTCGACCTATTTCTTCCTCGTTTCTCGACTTTCAACGCGGCTTTTAAACGCATCAATAAAATGCATCCCGGTTAATCGAGATTTAATCGCGCGGAAAGAAGAAGCGTCTCTTATAGAGTAGCCATATAATTAAATCGTTCTGTAGGAAAGATTTACAAGCACCTTGTATATCCTATCAATTTCGATAGAGAATATTCTAAAGCGAAATTTCGTCTCTGCCAAGTGA